CCTGCAGATGTTAGTATATGAAGTTTATCGTATGCGGGGAAAAGAGCTCGGCGAACTTTTCAAGTGCTTGTTGTAGGGCATGATAATCGTGTTGGCCAGTTTGGGTGGGTGTCTATCACGCTGTAGATAGAGAGCAAGATGATGTTGTATCGAGATACTGATGAAGAGGAGTGGAAGACGATGAGATGTTCAAACTCTGTTGCATTCTGATTTGAAATGACTTTGGCGTTCTAACAAACGCACGTATTCCAGCCCAAGGCGTCGAATGCGTGTGGCACATAGCCAGTCGCCTGCAAACGAAGGCGGGCGAATCCCGCCTCTTGATGTCGGAAGTCGAGACCACTAAGCATTCGGTAACTCCAGACACAGATCAGACTCCGAAGATAGAAATTAGCTGTCCCAACAGACGCCGCTATGTGTAATATACAATCTCGTGACTATGCACTGCTGCCCGCATGATCATTCGTCATGCCCAGACCAAATCGCTCATGGTAATGCACTTTTGGGACCCAGCATGTAACCTGCCTACTCTTCCTCATCGCTCTCATCATCATCAACCCTATACAGGAAGTACTGCACAAACACGCCGGCATCCAACAACAATGTGCCAAAGCTGCCCAACAGCCAGCTCATATTGACCGCAATGTATTTGCCGTACTCAGCACGTCCCTCACCGTCCTGACAGACGTGGCCCCCACACTTGGGCTTGTATACTAGGATACTCAGAACATACGTCAGGTTACCCAAGCAAGCAAACAGAAAGAACAGCATGCTGATGCCTTCGGTCGACTTGCGGCGGTAGTTGAGCAGAAGCTGTGGGACGCGGGAACCGAGGTAAAGCGCGGCACAAACGTAGCCGGAGACCTGGCCCCAGAGATTGAAGTGCAGGGTAGATTCGGGTGATGAGTCCTGGTCATCGGGCTGGCCGGGAGCGGTGGAGTTTCGTGCGCTAAGGTACCAGCCGAAAACACCGGCCGCGCATACAAGAACTATGGTTCCAAGATTGAAGAGGATCGTTTGCAAGCTGGATTGGGCCGGCTGAGATCTGGCTGCAACTGCGCCATTTTGATGTCCAGCCGTTGAGTCATCGTGGAGCGGTGTGACAGGCGAGAGATGCGTGCCGTCAATGGAGAGATAGCGCTCACGGAATGAGCCTTGGGAATGACCCGAGCCACGGCGATCAATGTCCGAAATGCGCGGCCTCTGGACTTCGATTCCATGGCCGTTGCCATTTGTATAGGGTGAGCCGCTCGAGTGGGGTCTGCGATGAGGCAGAAGCGGTGACTGCTCACTTACTTCGCTATCCGTGTCGGATTCATCGGCGGGTTTCTTATACTCATCGCGCAACGTAAAGCCCTTGTAGTAGAAACACTGTAGCAGCAGCACGATGTCGGCCAGAGTATAATACACCGCCAAGATGGTCATCGTTGGCAGGACACCTTGCAGCACCGCGCCTATGATGTTGAAGAAGTCACCGAGTAGCCATACTACGATGAATACCACCGAAAGGCCCTCCGCTGAGCCCCTCTTCCAATTCTCGATAATTTGAGGTGAGAAAACGACTGTCGCACAGGTTAGCTCCGGCGTGCCGAGGTAACAGCCACGCAAAAGCAACGCGAGGCAAGCGCGTTGCACAGCAGGTAGCAGTGCGAGAAGCTGTATCTCACGTACCTATCCAGCATGCGATGCTTATTGAACCAAATATTTGACTGATGGCATCAATGTCCAATCGCAACCCTTGCGATGGAGGAAACATCTTCGCTATGACGTAACCACCGGTTTCCTCGCTCTTTCTCAGTCGCACAATTTTGGAGCAGCTCTCAAAAGTCGGAGGAGCTGGTCCAAAGTCCTTGCGACAGGACTAATAATGACAGATGTTCGCAAGCTTGCAGCTCCCTTCCCTGGCGATGAAACGCGACGTGAACGTTTCTCTTAACAAAGAGCGGCCGGCTATAGCTATGCAAGCGCGTCCCGGATCAGCCGCGTACGTGGTTGACGGATGTATGTTGAAAGACGATGATGAAGATGTTGATTGGGTAGTCTCTGATGAGAGCAAAGAATATGAGATGGAATCTAGAACGCAATTGCTGCGATGACTGACATGTGGAAAATCTCGGGCGAGTACGTAATCCGGGGTTACAGGGATGAGCTTCTGCAGGAACCAGAAAGAGCCGCACTAAGCGAGCTGCGAACGTGTGCCTCACGCGACGAACCAATGCGAGCAATTGCTTATCTTCATGAATTCATCATTGGATGGCTTTGATCATTATTTGTATACCTATATACTTTGATGTACAGCTAGCTCTGTGTAGCCCATATACATCTCGCTCATTAACCAGTGCCCTCCCAGAAGGCAGCCGCCGCCGCAAGATCATCAACGTTGAGCAGATCGACGCCTTCGTCCCAGAGAATACGCCAAACCGCGTTCCTCGTACCAATCGGGTACGCCGGCTGGTTCCAATACCTGGCCATGATGCCCTTGTCATGTGCCATGTCAAGCTGACTCCTCAGCGTCTCCAGCTGCGTATCGTTGAACTCCCGCTTGCGAACTTCACCAAAGGACGACGCAAAGTTTGTGGACGCAATCGGTGACTCATTTGCTGTGAGGTCTGCATACTTGGAGTCGTTGAGATCAGCAAGTGGCGCGTCAAAGAACACGTCACGTGGAGACGACGCAAGAACGTCCGAAAGCTGGGTGTTTCCAGTTCCAATGACTGTAACGGGATTCTTGCGCAGGTTGGTTCCGTCGTAAGTTGTCAACCAGTCGCCGCTTCGCAGAGGCTCTAAGGCTTCAAGAACAGCGGGCCAGGTCTCGTCGGCGGCGGTCTTCAAGTCGATGAAGAAGTAAAGAGTCTGTCCGCTAGAGGTGTCGAACACACCATTCTGCTCGCCCGGCTGCACGAATCGAGTCTTCGGGTTCAGGCGATGCAGAGTATCGAGGATTGGCTCCAGATAGAGAGACTGGAGAGTGCGCTTATCGGTCAGCGCAGCAGGCTCATGTCCGACCTATCGTTCATTAGCGGAATTGGATGAGATCGCGACGCGTAACTTACGTAGAGCGTGCCATTCAGAAGCCACACATCAGCTTCCGTCGATATAGCACCCTGGCTTAGACCCGAATAGAACGGCACATCGCGCCAGTAATCATTGTGGCTGTGGAACGGCTTTGGGATAATCTCCCTTGTAAAGTCCGTTGGGTATGTGTATTTATCGCTCTTGTCTGTGTTCTCGAGGATGTTCTTGAGTGGCGTCTGCTGCCCATATGGCGCTGCGCTGCAGAGCGCGGCCAGACTGGCGGTAAGAGCGAAGGGGCGCATGACGAAGGCGATGCGACACGGAAGATACAGGGCGCACAGAAAATTCAAGGAAGCAATGCAAAAGCTTTATGGACGAAGCGCAACTTCACCAAAGCGATTGAAGGGCGACAATTGACGGTTGATGAGAGTTCGCATTGAAGCTTGTCAACGATGTCACTTGTGGGGACAGCCGTGGACATCCGGCCAATCCGGGCAAGCTGCTCGGCCCGTGGCAGTATGGCTTGCTTCTGGAGGCCTCGTTGCATGGCAACACGTGCGTGAAGAACAACATTTACTCGCCATTCTTCTTCTCGCGAGCTTTCTTCGGCAGAAGGATTTCGGAGCGTTGCGATATCGGCTCGGTGGCTGTATGACCGAAGCTTTTGTTGGGCTATGGCATTGGCCTATCGGTCGCTGCGTGGAATACTAGGTACCGCAGTATCTTCTGCTGATATCTCGTAAGTGAGCATTGTAGTTGTTCTTCTCATGTCTGAAGATTATTTGGTAGTCCGAGACACGTCAGCATCAAAGCAGCGTGGTCATCCATGTGTGCAGAGCTCAACCTTGGAAGGGTCGCGCTGGAAGCACAAACACGTGTGCAAACCATTGCAGGGAACAAACCTGAAAACGACTTGCAACCGTCTTCTCTTGCAACTTTGTCTAGAGCTTGAACATGCTGTGAGGCCTGGTCAATGGCGTCTCTAGTGGTGTCTCCGAAATTGAACGCAAGGAAGCTGGACGTGGAATTCCTGGTTGCATAACGAGTAGCGGATGGAAGGCCTTGTTATTGCTCTATTCACACGGCGCCTCTATAAACAGGACTTATGGTACGGTAATACTTACATGAGATGCTCGTGATGTAAATCTTACTCGCATTCCCCTGAAACCACACCCCGTTACCGCAATCTTGGTGTCTTTTCGGTCCTTCAGCCCCACCTGCATCTTCCTTCCAAGATCCAAGCTTCGCACCATGCATTTCCCTGGCCCTCAACGGGACTACAGCGGCTTTTCTTTCCGCATCACGGGATTCTGGACGAGATCCTGCAAGATGCTAGTGCATTTTGTAAAATCAGGGTCGTGAGCGGGGCTAGTGGAAATGATTGGCGGTCGCAGAAGCCGTTTCGACATGCAGTAGCCGCTGCGACCACGGTGAACTGTGACCAAACGGAGCGGCAAGACCCTGTAGGCGTCTGCATCTACGAAGGCGCATGCTGCAGAAGTAGGGAGTGTCGTGGCTTGATGGCTGGCATGAGAAAGCTGGTGGCCGGTGAAACCTTGGAATTGCGTGATGAGGGGCGTCAGAGTCAATGCGTCGTACCGAGGACTTCCAGGATCAAAGTCCACGCGTCAACGTTGCCACGGGTACAGGACGAAAGCAGGACGAACAATCACAACACAGTGATTGAGAGGTGCAATTGTCAGGAAGGAAGTATGCGTCACGCAGATAGAGCATTTGGACATTATCATTTAAGTCTCCTGATAGAGACTTTGAATTTGATTGAGATAAAGAGGATATCGTTGAATCGATCCAACACCGTGCTGTGCATGCCATTGGCGAAAGCCATATGTAGAATCCCAAACGCCTGGCTCTCTCGTAAACAAAGGTAGATCAGAACGTGATCTTTAACCATGCATCGCTAATACAGATAGCGTCTCGGACGCTTGAAGTGAAGATAGTTGTGCAAGATACAATCAAGATGATTGTTATGAGCTGGTGGAGCTGACAGAGTCGGAAGACGAAGCGCCGCTTCGTCGACGAGCAGAGTCGGTGGCAGTGGTGAGCTGGCGCTTGGTGTGCTCGTGCATGATCCTGGTACTGTTAGTGATTGATACGAGTCATGTACTAGGGTAATAACATACCTCTGGTAGTCGGTCATGGCCCGGTCGGGGTCATTGAGGTCGAAGTTGTTGGCAAAGTTGTGCTGAGCGCTCATGGGCTCTGAGAAGCCGTCGGAGACGTAGACTTGTTGGCGGTTCTCGGTCATGGCAGACATTGTTGTAAATGTGTGGCTGAGGTTGTGATAGAGGTAAGATAGTATAGGCTTAAGTAAGATAAGATGTGTGCGGAGCGTGTGCTGGAGATCGAGAATTTGTATGTGAATCGATGAGCTGGGTGCTGTTGATGGGATCTAAAGAATCAGCAAGCGGGGTGCGAACTATATACCCTCCTGCGTCTCACAACGCACGCACAACAGAGGCGGACGGAACGACTTGGCCCATCATGACTGCGCAAGGCAAGAGATCGGCCCATGACTGTCGGCTCAAAGAAGTGATCCACCATGACCAGCGCGCTAGTGGGCCGCCAGCTTCGAGGCTTGCAATCAGAGATCTACAGGGTCCTTCTACTTCCAGCTCTGGTGGCCAGTCGCGCCAATCAGCGGCTTCCGATACAGACATCCCCGTTTGCGGTGGGTCTGGTACCTGGGCATCACGACTTCAGGGCTTGCTGATGATGTCGGCAATGACGGGGGTGCTGGGACAACTGTTTAGGGGACTTTCTAGTAGCAGGGCTGGCTGGCCATTGACAGCGGAGGACGGGCGTACCGCGTCTGTTGACTGGTGTCGCGACTTGATGGTCAGGCGGTACATGGCAGCACATGCGCAGTATCCTGTCTGAGAGCCGCCGAGCGGCAATTCTCAATTTCGCATGTTACTTGCTATTTTCCCCATAGCAGGCTATCGGCTTCGGACTCACCGTGAGGCTCACCCAGCTGCCATGACGCAAAAGCGATGTCAATATTCCAGCGGCACGGCTGTCTGCACGCTTCGTGGAGCACCGAGTCTGCCCAGCGACGTCACACCTCCTCCTTCGCTCGACTTCGAAACTCGCATTCCACAAGGGCTGCGGCCCAGCGAAGTGGAAGATCCCTCCAAGCTCCAGCGCCCCAAAGTTTCCGTGCACCAGAGGACGTCATCTTATCCTAGTACGGCAGAGATCGGCCCGGCGCTCCTGCATGGGCTATGTATAAGCGGGCCTAGCGGAGGTCTCGCAAAAGCAGGGTCTCGCGCTACCGCATACCCGTTGCGTTCATAGCCCCCACCCAACCGCCCAGCGCAACATGTTCTGGCGCAACATCGTCACTTCTGACGTTTGTCCGTGTGACGGCTTCAATTCAGCCACTGCCATCGTCATGCAGGGTCTCTACCAACCGCCCCGGCCACCAACGACGCAGGTACCGGCCGGTCACGATGTCTTCATTACGCTGCCGCCTTGGGCATCGTGGAGCGCGCCGTACCACTAGGATACCGAGGCTGCAAGTCTCTGGATATGGTTGTGAATTCTGGGCTTCGTACGCCCAAGGCTGGAACGCTCGCGAAGGGAGATCCACGCAGAATCTTCAGAGGCCACATGTCTAGGCTTGTGATCATCACCCTGCCCTCCAATTGAAAATGTGCAATTAATCTAAGCAAATTGACAGAGGTTGCGACCCACGAAAGAAGATCTTCACGTTGCGTTATCTGCCTGTCAAATCAGAAGCGGCTGCCTATTTGACAGATTCGAATCGAATGTGTCGTCTTCGTTTTCGAGCATATTCGATCCCCTGGCCGATTTCTCGATGCCGCTACCCTGCGTCTAGACCCTTCCTGCCAGATTCGCATGTCAATTTTCCCATCCGCATCATCGCTCTTCGACCGAGCGCGCACAACACATCGCGAATCCGTATGAGGATCGAAACACTTCCCTTTGACGGCTCTAGTCCTCTTACGACCGCGCCTAATGGACGTCATGTCAACCCGCAGATCTGCATCCACGTTGACGGGTTTGACCACCCCACAACGCTTCCTTCTTAGAGCCCCATGATGATGCTCGCTGCGTCTTCACGACAGTGCAGGGAGGTGCGGCTGTTTGCGCCTTTTGTGGGCTATGATGCCGCTCGTGGGGTTGCGGCTTGCGGCTTGCATCACCATGGATGCCAAACCTCCAGTGGAACTGTCCCGGGAAGTAACGTCAATCCGGAACATGTGCCGAGTTCATCGTCATCGGCACTGACTGACGTTTCGCGTCGAGCTTGGCTCTGACCGAGTCAAGGGCACGCGACTGACGCAAGAAGCCTCTTCCTCCAGCTCGCTGCTACAGCAACTGTCCCATCGGGAACGCAGCTCGTGCCTATTCAATATTGCCGTAGGATCGTTCGAGACTCTGACCCGTCAATACAGCGCTGACCACCCCCCGTTGTTCAGATGTGATGTCATGTCGCTTATTTGTGAAAACGGTGGCAGGACAGTCCTTCTCGAAATAGATCGGCATCGAAAATGATCGACAAACACACCACCACATCTGACGCCCTTAGCAGACTTTCGTCATCAGGCGAGGTTCCCGCTTCGCCAGAGCAGCCGCAGCGCCATACCCACTTACGGCATGACATAGCCGCTGGGTCTTGAGGACAGAAAGCCACTCAGACATGACATAACCGTACATTTACTGGGATTAGGGACATGAGCAAGGTGCATGACGCTGCTGCATCCAGATCCTTCTGCCAGGGATAATGCAAGCCACCAAATTGTTTTGCGCAACGCAACGGTGGGTTTGCGTAAGTGTACAGGACCGCGAATGACGCACCACGAGCAAGTTCGATGAACGGTGTGCAACAGGGAGCTGTCGAGCCTCTGCTGCTGCTGCTGCTACAGTCTTGTTGGAAGGAATTCGTCACTTTCTGGCTGTTGCAATCGACACGACTCATTCTCCCCTGGGTGTCGAAGATATACCAGCCTGATGTCATGGCGATAGCCATTGTAGGAACGTCACATGCGCATGTCTAGCTAATACAGGATTACACCTGAGCACTCTGTCAAGCCGCTGGAACTACACGCCTACGCCGAAGTTCGCATGGCCCGATACCCTCAAACGTACCTTTAGGACACGATGTCCGCGTCCCAACGATCATGCCTCTCGATGCATCGCAGCGTTGCTCAGCAACACCCCGACCGAATCTCACGATTGCACTACGGCCTATCTCATCGGATCATAACACATGACCACCCTCGGGTGCTGCTTACGTGCGGCTACCCTCTGTGTGGAAGGTATAAGACTGTGTTGCAGATATTGCAACGTACAAGCTACAACACAATACACGTGAAGATGTTAGCAGGCTAGCTGAAGACACGCATCACTGGTTTCCATGTACCACATATGAGCGTTGCTACTAGAAATAACCTTGGTCGTTCTTGGACGATACCAGGAAGTCATTCATGGTTATATCTTCTGTTTCAACCTCGCTTCAAGCAGCAGCAACAACATTGCTCGCCTTCTTCTTCGCTTCAAGCGTCTCATCTCTCCACTTACCCACTTCTTCTATCGCCTTGCCCGGATCCATTTTGTGCATCAACAGATAGCCCTGGATCTCCGCCGGTGAGAAGACCTTCTCCGGCAATGCATCAGCAAACTGTTGTGCCATCTCCGCTAGCTTGTCCGGTTCCACGACAGCCGCGATAGACTTCTTGGGAAGGATAATATCGCCGAGCTGATCTTTCTTTGCTCCCCGTGTAGGTATATGGCTTTTCGTTGTGACCTTGGGTGCCTGAGAAGCGTCGGGTGTGAGGTTATCGTTGCTGAACATGCGCATGTACGTGTCGCGAATCTGGTCGCGTGTGGCGAGCGTGAAACCGATCTGCATATCGACGCGACCTGGACGGGTCAAGGCGTCGTCGAGCTTCTCCGGGGTGTTGGTGGTCATGATGAGCACGTGGCCCTCGTGAGAAGCGGCACCATCGATGACGTTGAGGAGTCCGCTCAGACTGATCGCTCCTTGGGCCCCTCCTGAGGCTTCTTTTGAGGCCGCCTTGGATTTGGATGGTTGTTCTTTGTCTTCCTCCTGCGCAGGCTCTTCAAGAGACTCTGGAGCTGGAGCCTTCGATATGACACTCTGTGGTGCATTTTGTATTTCAACTTTGGGTCCCTTAGTAATACATTTAGGGTCCTCCTTGGCCACAACCGGAGGCGGAAGACCTTCACGCCTAATACCCGCAGCGTCAATATCTTCAAGGAGAAGAACGCATCGGCTAGGTAGGTCATTGAACAGAGTGCTTAGCTCAGACTCAGAGATTCCGTCGTTGAGCGAAAGACAGTATATGTTCAACCCGAAGATGCCCGCCAGAGCGAATGACAGTGAGGTCTTACCCGTCCCCGGGGGTCCATGGAAGAGATAGCCACGCCGATGGGGTATCCCACGCGCCGCATACCAACGCGCCGTGGCGGGATTGAGATATTCATTAATATCTTCAAGAATTGTGGCTTTCTGCTGTAGGTCCAAGGACACAGTACTCAGTGGTCGCGATGGACGTCTAGACTGGCGCTTCCAGTACCGCACGCCGCCTTGCTTCTGTACAGGCGCTTGATAGATCGTCGTAGTCGTACTAGCTTTGTTAAGGCTCCACCTCTTGACAAACACAAGGAGCTCCTTGATTGGCACCGCATTCCTACCCACACATGTGATGATAATCTCCTCGTCGTAATCCCTGACCTTTCCATTATCCTTCTTCTTAACCCGCGCGAAAGTGAACCATCTCCCTTCGTGTTGGAAATCGTAATCACCGTAATTAGGTTGGTACACTGGCGGTATGTTGCCCGACCACTTCTCGTAGTTGAAGATTCCATGTTCATCCAACACGTTGTCGTCACCGTCTACGTTTTCGACTTCACCGATCCGGCGCGTAGCTGCAGTCAGATGTCTGCTAGACGTCGTCATGCGCTGCACTGCTATCCATCTCATCACATGGTCGAACAAGATGTCGGCTTCGTCAATGGCGATGGATGATGTGTAAAATGTGTGGAACCATTCGCGTACCTTGCCACAGGTAAACGTGCCTCCATAGTACCCACCGACGATGGCTAGCCAGATTGTCACAAAGACTCCGATATCGAATCCAAGGTAGCGGGATGTTAGTTGCGCGATAGTGCTGTATCCCGGTATGAACAGCTCTAGAACGGTCGACGGGATGCTGCCGCTGGTAATATTGCTGCCAGTAGAGTTGAACTCTGAAACAATGGCCTGGAAGCGCGAGAAGTCCATCGTAGAATTAGTATATGTGGATTTTGTCCTGGGGTGTTGAAATTTGTGGAAAGATAAGAGACCTGTAGCTCCTTCGTACTTTTATAGTAGAAGGATTCTAGGTGCGCCGAAGGAAGCCTAGAAGGCGGTAGTCATGGCTACCCAGTGCGCTCTACGCAACGTGGATAGTGAATACAACGAAAGAAGAAGAGCTTCTATCTGTGGAAACAAATCCCAGTCAAGCCCAAAACGCGGTGCTAGTTTGTTAAGATAGGAGCAAATGCTTGTTACGTGTAGGGAGATTGGTTCACCTGATAGCGACACTGCAGCGGACAACGCATCATATTTCAAGATTTCTCGGTGACCGAAATGTGATGCTGGACGTGTTGCTTAGACAACACTACGTAAATGATCGCTGTCAGAAGCCAATTATCTCTATTTACAAAAATGGTGGATAATCATGAAGCAGTCGACGCGATTGCTAGTCAGAGGATGCAAAGGATGTCGTGCTGTAGACTAGCGTCGATATATTCGTATGCAAAACATCATGAGTAGTGGAAAATGTATGTCTGTGATCAGGTGCCGAGATTTGTACTTAGTGACGAGGTAGTCGAGCAAGTGAGACCAACGTTAATACGTAAGAACGTTCGGATGAATGATGAAGTCGCGTTGACTTTAGGCAATAATAGGATACAAGATGCATGACAGACATGTACATACCTTTGCGCATTGAATACTCAACAGTCACAAGCAAGCATCGGCAAGTCAAGACAGCACCACAAACCCAACATGCAAAAGTCAATCGACTCACCAACGCACACACTACAAGGCATAGATCAGACACACGTCGTTACAACAAAGCAAAAAACAGATTCAATGGTATCGTGCGCAAATCTACATCTCTCCTTTGTTTCTAAGATCCACTTTCTTTCTTGTCCCTACAGAGGGGGCACAAGCTGTGATCTGGCTCAGCCTTCCTACAGCCTTCCCCAAGCACACACCAACCCAACAGTTTCAAAACAAAATGGTACAGAAAGGTAAAGGGAATCAGACAAAGAAAAAGGTGTTTTGTCCTCGCCATAGCTACGTGTCTTGAAGTGTGATGTCAATCCGCGCAAACCCCGGCCGCCCCAATGGAGGGCCGAGAGGAAGGGATGCTAGAAGCTAGGCAGGAGGGACCAAGTGTCTCCTCTATTGTCGTCGTGTGCTGTCGTAGAAGAACGCCGATGTGCATGCAAGAACCGTTTATGCTTTGGGTGCTATCGTCAAAGTCTTTTTTGTTTCATTGAAAAGTAAAGACTTAGTTGCGGCCGATGTGACCGTGGTCGCGGCGGTGCTTGTGTGCGTGTCGGCGGCGGTCAGCACCAACAGTGGTGGTGACGACAACCTCAACAATGGCAACCTCGTACACGACACCGTCCTTGGTGTAGGTAGAGGTGGACACAATCTCGTCGTCCTTCAGGGCGTTGGCGATGTCGGCAATGGGGGTGACAACAGGCGCAGCGTAATCGGCCATGGAGGAGGAAGAGGAAGACTTGGTGACCATGGTAGCGGGGCTCTCAACGTTGTAGACAGAGATACCGCCGCCACCGAGGGAGTGGGCAGGAGCGTAGGACTGAGTGGGGACAGGGGCAGAAGCAGAGGAGGAGATGGGCTTGACGGGCTCCTCGTCGTCCTTGTCGCCTCCCTCGAGGGGAGCGGCGTACTCGGGTCCGTATTGAACCTTGACGTTACCGCAGAGGCCGTTGGAAGGACCAGCGCAGTCGTCGATGTCAAGGATCTTGGGCATGTCCTGGATCTTGCACATGGCTTGCTCGGCCTGGGTCTGGAGGCTTCCGGCGAAGACAGGGCAGTCCTCAACGCGACCAGAGAGGTTGGTGCAGGTCGAGACAGCTTGTTGGAGGGTATCGATGTTCCAGCCGTTGATGAAATCAGCGTGGTATCCGTAGCCTGATTCTAGTTAGTAATTGGCTCATAAGAAAGCTTGCACGTGAACTTACCAGTGGGGTCACCGTTAGAGAAGGTGAATTGACCGGGCATGCCCTTGAACTTGTTGGTGTTCCAGATGGTCTCGTAGAAGAGCGTAGGGTAGCGCTTGTTGTAGCCCTTGGGGCACTCGCCACCGTCGACCATGTTGGGGTAGGCCATGTGGCTCTTGTGGTCATCAGCGGTCGCATCGCCGTTGCCGCACGAGGGGAACATGATCTCAGCACGGATACCGTCAGCGCAGTTCTCGTCCATGTACTCCTTGTCAGGGAGGAAGTGGCGGTAGCGCGAGCCCTCGGGGGCCCTGCCGTAGTTCATGCAGTTCATGCCGATGGCCTTCTGGCCAAGAGACAGCTGAGTCATGTCGTCCGCAGTCCAGGAAGAGGTTGGCGGGTCAGGAACGGGACCGGTGAAGTTGCGGAGACGTGTGTCACCAGCGAGCATCTGGAAGCCCTCAGGGAAAGCCTCGAGGTTGTCGCCGATGAGAAGGTAGTAGGCGAGCATACCACCGATCTGGGGAACGATCTCGGTCTTGCCATTCTCGTGGACGAAGTGGAGCGAAGGGGTCCAGTAAGCGGACTTGTCGTCGTCGAACTGGCACGAGGTGCAGTCCGACTTACGGAGCATGTCATAGGTGGTCGTCTCGGCGAAGTCTGTCGGCTGTTAGCAAACTGTACTATCCGCGAAACAGCCCCTGCCTCAGGCGCCCAAATGGAGAGTCGTTGCATGAATGATTCGCGTGTACCCAGTCAGGTTGTGGTCCCCTTGTTTGGAACACCCTGACAGATCCAGAACACATGCTCACTCATCATACGCCTTGCCAAGAGGGCCGAAGCAGGAGGGGGCGGTCTTCACTTACTGCTTCCACCGTGGATGGTGTGGCTGTGAGAGGAAGCAGTTCCTTCGTCGACGATGGGGTCGAGACGCGCAAGCGCAGTGCGGTCGGTACAGGGCATGCGCCAGAAGGCGCTGGCAGTGCCGGAGAGGACGGCCGCCGCGTAGAAGGGTGCGAAAGACTTCATGGTTGAATGGTCGGTCGACTTGAATTGAGAGGGGAGTCGGTGGTTGAGTAGTCTTGCGAGAAGGTCGGTTGTTGAGACAAGGTGAGTGCTTTTTTCACTATGTTGGTCGGAGGGGATTCGAAGTCGCTTCCGGGTAGGTTGACGAAGTGAATAAGTCTGGCGCCAGGACTCTCCTGCGCTTCAAGAAGATAGACCTAGAAAGGAGTGTAGCGTTGTCACGAAGACAACTAGTTGGATGGGTAGCGAATGTTGCTGGCGGTGCCAAAGGAGTGACAGGGCGAAGGAAAGGACGCAGTAAAAGAAGGACGGGAGAGATGGGGAAACGGGCGGTTATCACGCTGGAACGGTGCTAGAGGCTTCTTTTAGGGGAGATGAAGGCATACTTTGGTTTAGCGAGGTGAAACCCTAGATTAGTACGTGGAGCATGGGACGTCCTGGGAGCGTGCTGCCATGCTCTCGTTGGACCGTGAGGCGCTGCGCACCGGCCGCTAGTCCAGGAACAGTAAGCTGAAACATGTCAGTTAGGGGATCCTTCACATGGATATGCTGAGTACCGGCCGGCAGCCTTGCTGGGCCAAATGAGTCGGGCACGCTGAGGAGCCGCATTGTGTGGAGGCGGCGCTGGTGATGGTGGTGATCGTGAAGCATCCGCGCCGCTCCCGTCGTCGACGCTGCTGCTCCAACGTCTCATGTCCAAGGCGATCTACTCCACCCTCGCGCACCTGGCTCATCTGCGTATTCGGTAGGTGGTCGCACGTAACACCGGCCGGCGTGCCACAATGAGGCCGGATCATCGCTTTCAGTCGTCTTTGTTTGGTATAGGTAGTCTGGGTACCTGAATTGGCGGCAAGCCGTGGCCCGTTGCAGCATCGCAATCTCACAGGCCGCCGCTCCCACTGGCAGACGGTCCCGAAGTGCTGCACCGGCGGCGGCGACATCATGGCGACCCACTGAAATGGCACATCGCAATTGCAATGCGGGTGTCGGCAGTGGCGTCTATGTCATCGCGATAAACCTCCTTTTCTTTTACGATAGGGGCGGCTGATCTCTGGCCACCTGCTGCTTTGCGGCTGTTTGCACCACGCCAACACAACGCTGCCACTGCTGGCCCCCTCTCTATACGAAGTAGTCGGTGAGCGGCTGTCTGCCTCCATTCGCGCGGGACCCCGGGACAGAGAGATTACGCCAACTGGCTCCAACCGGCGCGGCAATAACGCGGCGAAGCGTAACTCTCGTTCGCTATTTCGCTACTCTGCTTGGTTGCTTGGTGGTGACTTGTCACGACACGGCGTCCTGCCTGTGGTCCGAAAGCAGCCTCCTCGTGCGGCACAGCAGTCGCACAACCTTCTTCACGACTTCGCTGTTCACGAGCGCACGCCGTGGTTGGACGCAAGGCATAAGCGCCACGCCCCTCGCCTCGTGGTGTAATTCCCGCCCCGGCTTCATACAGCCTATCGATAGTGAATTTTCGTTCCTGCAGTAGCGCTCACCACGGCGTCATGTGCTGCGCCTGGCTAAACTATCTCCTGTTCTGTGATTTGCCGGTGCTATTCTCGCGCGCTCATGCGAAGCTGATCCTCTTCTCAGCCTCCTTGAGCTAGGACATGAGACCAAAACACACCAACTACTCGGTGGGACTGTGGGACAAGAATAGTGCAGGAACTATATTCGTGCCTGTATAGTTGAGCACTATGCCAGCAGGAGCAAGCACTACACCGGCAGGAGCAAGGCCTACACCGGCAGGAGCAAGGCACTACACCTGCAAGAGCTGAGCGCAGCGCCCCTCCCTCACCAAGGGCCATCGCAGCAGCACAAACGAGGCTGCTCCAAGATTAACCTGTCACTCGTCTCACACCTCCCCTCCTGTCCTCGCCTACAAAGACAACACTGCCCCCAAACCCAGATCCTTGACGACATTCTCAGGCAGATATGTAAAACACGCTTTCACTCAGGTACCCCGCTTCTCCCATTGGCCAAAACCCCATAGCATGTCCGAAAACGTTTCAAGGCATG